ATGAAGGAATTTTCTTAGGTTATTCTCTTCGTAGTAAGGCATATAGAGTGTTCAACAAGCGTACTAAGACCGTAGAGGAGTCTATTCATGTTGTCTTTGATGAATTTGATGCTCGCTTGGCGAGAAAAGGTATTGTTGATAATGTTGCAGGTTCTTATGATGATGATGAAGAAATCGTTAAGGAAAAGGAACCGAAAGAAGAGAAAACGCAGGAACAAACGGAGCTTCCTAAGGAATGGAGAACATTGAAGAACCACCCGATTGACAATGTCATTGGTGACATAACGCAGGGAGTTTCTACTCGTAATTCTCTTAGGAACACAATTAATCACATGGCCTTTGTTTCTCAAATTGAACCAACAACCGTTTTGGATGCTATTAATGATGAACATTGGTCTATGGCAATGCAAGAGGAGCTTAACCAATTTAAACACAATGATGTTTGGGAATTGGTGCCTAGACCTAATGATCATTCCGTTATTGGCACAAAATGGGTGTTTCGTAACAAACTCGATGAAAATGGAATAATCACTAGAAACAAAGCTAGGCTTGTAGCTAAAGGCTACAATCAAGAAGAAGGCATTGATTATGAAGAAACTTATGCACCGGTTGCACGTTTAGAAGCTATTCGCTTATTGCTTGCGTTTGCATCTACAATGGATTTTAAACTTCATCAAATGGATGTTAAAAGTGCCTTCCTTAATGGTATCATTCAAGAGGAAGTAGTGTATGTCAAACAACCCCCGGGTTTCAAAGACTATGAGTGTCCTGAACATGTCTTCAAACTCAAAAAGGCGCTTTACGGTCTCAAACAAGCACCCCGTGCCTGGTATGAATGGTTAAGCAAATTTCTTTTGGACCATGAGTTCAAACGGGGTCAAGTCGACACTACTCTTTTCATCAAGAAAGATAACCAAGACATCCTTTTGGTTCAAGTTTACGTAGATGATATCATATTCGGTGCTACTAACGAGGTTTTGTGCAGGGATTTTTCGGATATGATGCAAAGTGAATTTGAAATTGTCGATAATGGGAGAATTAAAGTTCTTCCTTGGGCTGCAAATTAGACAATGCAAAGAAGGAACATTCGTGTGTCAAACGAAATATTGTAGGGAATTGCTTAAAAGATTCGATGTTACCGAATCCAAATCCATTGACACACCAATGAGCACCTCTTGCTATCTCGACAAGGACGAAAAAGGTAAAGAGGTAGACACCAAGCGCTACCGAGGTATGATCGGATCTTTACTTTATCTTACCGCGAGTAGACCAGATATCATGTACTCCGTTTGTATATAGGCTAGGTATCAATCATGTCCTAAAGAGTCGCACTTGGTTGCGATCAAAAGGATAATGCGATATCTCGCGGGCACGTTGAACGTAGGTCTTTGGTATCCCAAAGGTTCAACATGTCATCTTGTTGGCTATTCCGACTCGGATTTTGCAGGTTGCAAACTCGATAGGAAAAGTACCAGCGGTACTTGCCACCTATTCGATCATTCGTTAATCTCGTGGTTTAGTAAGAAGCAGGTTAGTGTTGCACTTTACACCACCGAAGCGGAATATGTCGCTGCGGGAAGTTGTTGTACCCAAATTCTTTGGCTAAAACAACAACTAGTGGATTTCGGCCTTATACTTGATCACATCTCTATTAGGTGTGACGATATGAGCGCTATTAGTCTAACGAAGAACCCCGTTCTTCACTCAAGGACTAAGCATATAGAAATTAGGCATCACTTCATACGAGATCACGTCCAAAAGGGAGATGTCATAATTGAGTTTGTTGAAACGAAACATCAATTGGCAGACATTTTCACAAAACCCCTTAGTAGGGAAAGTTTCTTCCACATTCGGAACGAACTTGGAATTTTGGATATCTCTATGAACTAATCCATTCTTTTTATTGACTATACTAATTTGAGCGTCGGAAGCGCGATAAATTCTTTTTTGCAGGGCTTTTATTGTAGGTATCTCTTCCCTTGGTATTCAACCGAATTGGACTTGATGTTTTTTTTCTGTCAAACAAGTTTTAATCGATTACTCCTCGAAGAGAAATCGATTAGTCGCCTCTGTCCCTCTTAATCGATTACTTGACTTTTGTTAATCGATTAAAATCTGAAAGTTTTTGCTCTGCGTCACTTTAAATCGATTAATTTGGTTACATTAATCGATTAGACTCATCTGTCCATCTTAATCGACTAAACATGTTTGCTTAATCGATTAATAGCTTGAAACGCAAACGTTTGGTTCAACTCCACGTTTAATCGATTAATAAGCTTCATTTAATCGATTTTGCCTCGGCTGTGTTCCTTAATCGATTACATACTTGTTTTTTAATCGACTAATATTCGATTTTTGCCCTTATATCCAGCCAGGCTTCGTCTTCTTCGCCATTCTCCTGTTACAAAATCAAAAACCCTAAACACCTTCCCTTCTCCAATTTTTCTCAAATTTCTTCCATTTTCTCACCAAATCCCATCAACTTCAAAGAGGAAGGATGCCAAGGTGCAAGAACGCTTCATTGCGTCAAGAATCGGCGGCAGAGGAGAGTGAGAGGCCATGGCGTCGTGAAGGGAGCAAGTACATTCACATACAAACCGGACTCGCCTTCAACACTGGGGCTTCAGTCGAGAGGTTCCATAACATCTTCCTCACGAAGGAGATCGTCTCTCCTAAGATCGTGAACAAGGACCTCTTCAAATCGGCGACCTATGCCCCGAGTAAGTCTCTTCTCCTTCAGCAAGGTTTGCTTCGTTTCATCCATTTGACGTATGAATTCTTTTGTCCAAATCTTATACGTCAATTTTATGCAAATCTTCGTACCACTAAGGGAGACTCACCATCTCTCATTTCCTATGTTGACAGCAAAACCGTTTTCATTGACGGTGCTGGTTTGACTTCTTTGTTTGGCCTTCGTCGCGGTGAAATTGTCGAAAACTTGGATGAAACATTCCAAGATGAGGCAATTTGGCGACAACTCGGGTTAGATCATCGTGACCTCAAGTTTAGAAATTCTAGCAACCCGAGTGTCATTAATCTCACTTTAATTCAACGCGTCCAACAATACATCTTCTCTTATGTTTTGTTGCCCCGTGATTCGAACCATGGCGTTGTCAACAAGGACGATATTTGTTTGTTTCACGTCCTGTTGAACGATGTCAAATTTGATTAGGTTCACTTCTTTATCGTTGCACTTAGCGATGGCACTCGTTTTTCCCATCTCCGTTTTGCCATCCTCATTATGCATATCCTTGCTCATTGCAAAATAGACTTTACTCGGGACACTCAGGTGCCAGTTAAGAAGACGTGTTTCATCACTGAAGCCAAGTATTCCCGGATCGTGTATCGAGAGGAGGGCGATGTTGCACCAAATCTGGACCTGATAGTCGCAGAAGAAGAAGAAGAGACCCAAAACGAGACTCAAGCTGAGTCATCTCGAGCCAGAGGAAGTCGAGCCACGGAGCTCGTCACTCGTCAACGGAGGACTCGTCCAAGAGAAGAAGCACCGGAACCTTCTTGGGTGAAGAGGATCTTCGGTACTCTCACGTGCATCCGTGATGACGTTCGCCAGCTCAACGAGAGGATGACTCGTCTTGAGCAATCTCGCTCCTACCGTGGCCCGCGTCACAGCTTTAGCGGAGGAGCTCGTCCGGCGAACTCTCTTTGATTATTATTTTCTTTCTATCTTGACTTATTATGATACATTGTTATTTGCTAATGTTATTGTTTTATGACTATTTTGGTGGATGATGATGTTCCTTTCAATGATGCTAGTTTACATTAATTTTGATTCTGTATTGATATCATTGTTGGGTTGGCAATATTGTTCTTGTTTAGAAAATATTGTCCCTTTGTGGCATTTTTTGCTAAGAGTTCTCTTTTAAAGAAAACTCTTGCCATTTTTTTTCTTTCCTTCTTTATCCCGGCATTGTTTAAGGGGGAAAGTTATCGGTTGATAATGCCAAAAGGGGGAAGGAAGGATAGTTGAGAAACTTTTTTAAAATCGTTTTTCCGCTTATTACTCCGATTATTTTTTTATTGCACTTCTCTAACCTTGCAGGGAAAATTTTTCTGAAAAGGAAGTAATTTCTGAACTCTTATTTTGCTCTTTCTCAACTATGTTTGTCATTATCAAAAAAGAGGAAATTGTTGGACATGAGTTCAAACCCCTTTACTATTTCTTCTGGAATATTTTTTTGTTTTGATGAATAACAAACAGGATAATTAATTTCAAGCTGATAGAAAATTTATTTTCGCATCGAGAAAAGCAAAGAAGGGTATCAAGAAGTTTACGACAATAAAAAAATCGACGATCACCCCTACGCAGATTGTTTTTGAAGTGAAGGGAAGACTCTGAAGATTTTTTTTAGTAAGTCTAGAAATCTTTGTAAGGATGACAATTTTTTTCTTGCACAAACAAATCATTTTTGAGGGATAAAAATTATTATTTTGAGTCAGTTGAAAAATTACTTTTCTTCTATCTAAAATATTTTACTGAGTCAGTTTCAAAATAAGTGTGTCAAAATTTCTTTAAAACATTTTTTTAAGATTACATAATTTTTTTTGTTAAGAAAAATATACTTTAAATATTTTTCGTGTACATCGTTTGACACACAAAATAATTTTTGGACTCACTTTTTCTCCCCTATTCAAAATCATTGAATAAGGGATATTATATTTTGAGGAGAGTTCTTGTTATTCTCGTTGTCTCAAACAACGAATATAAAGCCAATGCCCTTCTCATCGCACTTGGCTTGGGCCCTTCATGTTTGCGCATTATTTTTCACTTTAATCGATTAAATTATCTAAAATAATCGATTAGATCTCAGCGCTGGATTTCTCAGGCCAATAGACTTAATCGATTAAATTTGTCCATTTAATCGATTAGTTTAAACAGAGCAAGGTAATCGATTTTTCTCTCCTTTTTAATCGATTAATTCCACCTTTGCATTCAAGCCTTTTCGCTTCTGTACACTTTAATCGATTAAAGTCCCTAATTTAATCGATTAATTCTGTCTGGTTCCTATTCTTAGTTCTTTTCAGTGGCTCCAACGGATCTTTTATCCTCAGCCTATTTAATCCCTCATTCTCCTTCATTTCTAAACACATCTCTTGCACTCCAATAAATTCTTTGAGCTATATCCATCTTTTGCATCATCTTCCTCATCAAAATATTATTTTTGAGAGTTAGAAATATTTTCTTTGAGTGCTAAAGAAGTTGTCATCCATAGAGCTTTAATTCTTCAACACTACTTTGCTCAATTGTGTGAGCTTTCATTCTTGTGTTGTAAACTCAATCTCTTTTGAGTGTTGTTCTTAAGACTTGTGTGACTCAAGTCTTGTTGTTGTAAGAAAGTGTGGCTTGTGTGATTCAAGTTCTCAACTTGTACCGGTTTTTCAAGCACCCGTTGAAGCTTGAAGATTAGTAGGACTTTCGAGAGAGTCTCTCGGAGGACTGGACTAGCCATGAGGTGGTGAACCAGTATAAATCTCGGTGTTCTTCTTTCCCTTACTCTCTTTATTTATTCCTGCAATTTTATTATTTCACACACGCGAAAAACACACATTCTTGAAAACAACTCTATTCACCCCCCCCCCCCTCTAGGGTTGCACATTTGTCTAACAGTTTTTACCTTAATGATGTGGTTTTCAACTTAAAAAGCTTGTTTTGACATCAGAATACATTAAATAAGTGTTTTATACACTTAGTTTTTACTTTGGAGAACTTTGCATTTTTCGGTCGGGTTTTAGTGCCGGTCGGCTAAGCCATGGTTCTCGACTAGCCATCTACCCAGCGATGGTAGATTTCACCCATGCATGGGAAAGTGATCCCGGGATTCCAGAATCATTTCACCCAGCGATGGGAGATATTACCCATCGATGGGTAAGCAGCCTTCAGCCCAATTGAATTCTAGAACCATGCCAAACAGCGATGGGAAGCTCTACCCATCGCTGTTCAAGCCTTGGTCCAACATTATCACAAGGCAGAATGCCCTTACCCAGCGATGGGAAGCTTTACCCATCGATGGGAACTCAGCGATGGGAAGGCTTAACCATCGATGGGAAGGCATGACCGTTGGAAGTCATTTAAGGTTGATTCTTTCTTTGTTTGGAAGTCAACCTCCCACCCAGCGATGGGAAGCTTGTACCCATCGATGGGTAGATAACCGTTGGCTTCAAAAACTGAAGGAAAATTGGCTTACCAGCGATGGGTAAGTTCCAAACATCGATGGGAAGCCAATATCCTGCAGATCCCAAATTTATTCAATCCCATAAATCAAGTCAATCACCCCTTTAATGCATTGGTCCATTGGAGCCTATTTTGGCACTATAAAAAGGGGTGTTTGGGTCTGCTATTCTTAAGAATTCACTTCACTTTATTCATATTATCATTGCATCCAAACAACATTATTTTCCATAGCTTTCTAGAGCCAATTTGTGAAGTTTGAGTTGTTTTTGAGCGTATATAGTTTACTCAACATCTACTCTTAAAGAGAGTCTTATTCTTGAGTGTTCTTAGTGTTGTAAACACGTTTAGGGAAGGGCACTTATTCTAACACTTCTAGAGGAGTAGAATTTTCCATCGATCTTGTTCCTGGAACAAGACCGATATCTGCAACTCCTTATCGCATGGCCCCTGCTGAAATGAAAGAGTTGAAGACTCAACTACAAGAACTACTCGATAAAGGATTCATACGTCCGAGTGTTTCCCTTTGGGGAGCACCCGTCCTGTTTGTCAAAAAGAAAGACGGTACAATGAGACTCTGCATCGATTACCGTCAATTAGACAAAGTCACCATCAAAAATCGATATCCTTTACCTTGTATCGATGATTATTTGATCACCTTAGAGGATCTACTATATTCTCTAAGATTGACTTACGGTCAGGATACCATCAAATCCCTGTAAAGAAAGAGGACATCCCAAATACTGCGTTACGTACTCGTTATGGTCATTATGAGTTCACGGTAATGCCCTTTGGTTTGACCAATGCTCCTGCTGTATTCATGGATCTCATGAATAGTGTATTCCGACCCTATCTTGATCAATTCGTAGTTGTGTTCATCGACGACATTCTTGTATATTCGAAGAATCGAGAAGACCATGCAAAGCATCTAGAGATACTACTCAGTGTACTACGAGAACACAAACTTTATGCAAAGTTATCCAAGTGTGAATTTTGGCTTGATGAAGTCACATTCCTTGGTCATGTAATTTCGAAAGAAGGTGTTAATGTGGACCCCAGTAAAATATCTGCAATCATCGAGTGGAAGGTTCCAAGGAATGTTCGTGAAGTGAGAAGCTTTCTAGGATTAGCTGGATACTATCGACAATTTGTTGAAGGCTTTTCCTCAATCGCAACTCAACTTAACAAACTTCTAAGAAAAGGTGTGAAATTCGTATGGACCGATGCTTGTCAACAAAGCTTTGAGAAACTAAAGAAATGTCTGACAGAAGCACCTGTACTGACACAACCAGTACCAGGTGTAGACTACATGATCTTTAGTGACGCATCTCATAATGGCTTGGGATGTGTACTCATGCAAGACGGAAAAGTCGTGGCATACGCATCAAGACAGTTGAAGCCTCACGAATGTAACTATCCTACTCACGATCTTGAGTTAGCAGCAGTTGTATTTGCTCTGAAGATATGGCGTCATTATCTCTTTGTAGAGACGACATATATTCACACAGACCACAAAAGTCTGAAGTATCTGCTAACTCAAAAAGAATTGAACCTGAGACAGAGAAGATGGTTGGAATTGATCAAAGACTACGACTGTTACATCGATTATCACCCTGGTAAGGCCAACGTAGTAGCTGACGCACTAAGCCGAAAGATGATAGCCGAACTCCGAATCCAGCCTACTCTTGAGAACAAAATTCACGCTGTACAAAAACGTGACGACTACTGTTTGAAGACATGTGAACTTGTCTCTAAGGGGGAGAGACAAGATTTCACTTTGAATGATGGAATTTTATTCTACAAGAATCGTTTAGTAGTTCCTAGTGGCGAAGTGAGGGAACGTTTAATGCGTGAATCTCACGAAACCACTTATACCATGCATCCTGGTAGTAATAAAATGTTCCAATATCTGAGGAAGACATATTGGTGGCCCACAATGAAGCGGGAAATTTCTGAATTTACAACACGATGTCTGACATGTCAACAAGTCAAGGCTGAACACCAAGTGCCAAGTGGGTTGTTACATCCACCTACTATCCCTGAATGGAAGTGGGAACGAATTACGATGGACTTTGTAATCGGACTTCCACTATCAGTCAAGAAGAATGATGCTGTCTGGGTAATCGTCGACCGATTAACCAAGTCGTCTCATTTTATCCCAATTCGGCGTGATATGTCATTAAAGAAACTGGCCGATTTGTACATCCGTGAAATCGTAAGATTGCATGGTGTACCTTTGTCTATCATTTCTGATCGTGACCCGCGATTCACATCGCAATTCTGGAAGAGTTTGCAAAAGGCTCTAGGTACTAAACTCAACTTTAGTACAGCATTCCACCCTCAAACAGATGGACAATCGAAAAGAACAATCCAAATTCTAGAAGACATGATGAGGGCATGTATGATCGATCTTGGAAGCAACTGGGAACAATATTTACCATTAATGGAATTCGCTTATAACAACAGTTATCAAGCGAGTATCCAAATGGCCCCGTACGAAGCTCTGTATGGGAGACGATGTAGAACTCCTGTATGCTGGATAGAATTGAGCGAGCAAAAGCTTGAAGGACCTGATCTTATCCGTGAAACTGAAGAAAAGGTTCGTTTGATCAGAGAAAGGCTACAAGTTGCTTCTGACCGACAAAAATCTTATGCCGACTTAAAACGTCGTGAGATTGAATACAACGTTGATGACAAAGTATTTTTGAAAGTCTCACCATGGAAGAAAGTACTACGATTTGGTAGGAAGGGAAAACTAAGTCCAAGGTATATTGGGCCATACCGAATCACTGAACGGGTAGGTCCAGTAGCCTATCGATTAGAACTTCCACCAGAACTGAACAAGATTCATGACGTATTCCATGTATCTATGCTGAAAAGATACCGTTCTGACCCATCACACATTTTGACTGACGGAACTGTAATGCTTGACGAAAATGAGAACACAATATCCAAACCTCTTCAATCAATGACTCAGGTAATTTCGAGGACGAAATTATTTTAAGGGGGAGAGAAATGTAACACCCCAAAAATAGGCCTATCAAAATTAATTAATTGATAATTAATTAATTACTAAAAAGGACCCAAAAATATGTGAATTATTAAGTTTGTCAATAAATAATAAAAATTTATATCATTGTGTAGAGTTTAACTGTCTAATTCCAACGGTTATATCGGATTTCAATTCGGGGAAAGTTGGACCAAAAAGTGTTACCCGACTGGGACCCAATTAGTCCGAATCAGGGACTTGCGTTTAAAATGGGAAGAAATCGCAGCCAGCTCCACCCCGCCGTCGAAACAATCGAAGGAGAGCTCATCAACCTGTGTCATCTTCCTCTTCCTTCTCCTATAAAAGGCTACCATAACACCCTCCATTCTTCACCATTTCTTACAAAGTTTCATTCTATTCTGTTGCTGGGAGTGAGGAAAACGCGGTGGTGCTGTCGTATTGGTGTGAGGTCGCTGGAGTTGAGAGCTATCGTCGCCGGAAGTTTCGCCGGAAAATCTTCAAAACCTTTATTTACCCTCGAGATAAGCTCGTAGATATATCTAAAGATTAGAATGTTCATACAGGTTGTTTTTACGTTCATAAATGGTCATTTGGTTGAGTTTTGTGTTTGACATGTTTGAAGAACCAAGAATCATAAACCTTGAATTTGATTTTAAAAATATGTTTTAATGATTCTAAAATGATCTATGAACCTTGGAGAACATTTCTATATAGTTTAATTGAAGTTTGGTAACTAAAATTGATATGTCCGAAAATAGACCGAAGGTAGAAGACGATGAACAGTGACCGAAAATCGATTATTTTTTCTAAGAATCGATTAAAACTTGTTCAGATAAAGCGTATCAAAATAAAAAATAATAATAATCGATTATATTAAGGTATAAAATCGATTTTGGTATTTAATCGATTAAAATATATTATAAAATCGATTTTCCAATTTAATCGATTAAAATATGTTGAAAAATCGATTTTTGTGTATTTAATAGATTAATATATGTTTAAAAATCGATTTTTGTATATTTAATAGATTAATATATATTTAAAAATCGATTTTTGTATTAATTTATTGAATAAACCGATTTTTCCTCAATGCCAGTGTTCCTAAAATATTCGTGGAAATATTCTCTGAAAATACCAATTAATTATGAACAATTTAAATATGATTTTGTATAATACATGATGTTTTTGGCATATAAAACAGTATGTGATGCATGACAATAAGTTCGGGTGTTAACATCCGAGACTAGGCTGCTGTTTGCTATTAAATATTATGTTGAATGATCATTATGATGAATAATTATTATGGATAATTATGAATGATAAACCTAATGATTAGAATGATTATTGATGATTAAGTCATGATTAAAAATGAATTAATGGTGATTATGAAAATAGTGTATATTGTTTAGAGAGAGAGAATGCAAAGTAGGAGTATATTGATTCAAATTCGGATCCATTACAATGAGGGGTGCCACCCCTTTTATAGGGGGTACAATTCACTAAGTCAAAGCCCTCTGATCGAGGCCCGTCGTTTAGCGGACGTCACCTGTCCTTAGGTCTTGTCCCTTTCATCCTATCGCTTTCATCAAGTCTTCGTTGAATGTCGCTTTTCTCACGTCGTCATCGCGGGGTTCGGCCTCGGCTTGGTTGGCCGAGCCGAGCAGGAAGGACGAGCGGAGCTCTAGGCCGGGTAGGAACGCCCAAGCCCGATACTTAGGAAATTTATGCTGATGTCAGCCCTAGGCTGGTGTGGGGTTATTCCCCATCAGAAGCCACCCACTCTCCGGGTTCCATGGCATCTAGTAGTGGAGCGCGTGAGAGTAGAAAACACTGTGGACGGTCAGCTCGTGGTCCGCGATGGAAGGGGCTTCGTTGAGCGGGGTGAGGTCCCCACCTTAGCGCTCGATGGATTGCGGGAACCTAGCCTTTGTGAAGGTGGCGTTCCCCCTCAAGCCTTCGTTCTTGTGGGAGCCGCGCCGTTTCCTGCAGAGCTTCATCCCTCCACCAGACCGAATGGAGATTTGTTCGTCCGCCACAGAGGACCTTGCGCATCCCGGAACTGGTGCTTTTCCTGCCCGATACTTAAACAAATTTGCCGTTGTTGAAGGTGGCCATGCGCATCCCGGAACTGGTGGAGTGCATGGAGTGGTATGTGGCAGAGAAGGCCAAGGGCGAAGAGGAGCTTCGGAGGCTGCAGGACAGGCTCGCATCGCCGCTGAGGAGAAGGCGCGCCGCCTTGATGAGGAGGCCGAGCACGTGATCAAGGCCTTTCAGACTTCCCTTGCGTTCGAGGAGGCGGCTCTCTCCCGCATGAACAATCTCTTGAAGGTCTGGGCTCAAACCCCCAACGGCCAACGTCTCCTTCTCAAAGAGGGGCAAGCCAATTACTCCATGGGTTTGCACAGGGCTCAAGAAGTCTTACTAGAGTGGATCAGAGATGGGAAGGAACTCCCGAAGCCGTGCGAGAACCCTGAGGAGTTTGATTCCTCCATCTACTACTCCGATGATGAGGACACTGCTGGAGGGGGTGAGGACACAGCCGGAAATTGAGCGTGGTTGGGCCCAACGCTGAACTCCACCCTTTTCTTTTCAATGTAATGTTTTTGTGCTCGAACAATATGTTTCGTATCGCGCGACTATTATCTTTGACTCTTCATGGTTTGTGATGCCTTTATCGTCTTGCTTTGATTCTTAATCGCATTTCCTTGAATAACTTTTGAAGTCGGAACGACCGTTTGCTGAAGTACTTGCGCTTGCTTATGCGAGGCCGTGCTCACGCTTGGGCTCGCTTTGCCAAAGACGTGCTCGACTCGTCTCGTTGCCTAACCGAGGACGAGCGCGGGCTCGCCTTATCCACGTGGCGCTCTGCCCAAACCTTGGCCTTGGTGCCTTTGCGCTCCAGTCCAACGGGTTCCACCCTTGGGACTTGATGCCTTTTGCTTGACCCCTGCGCTTCCTTTGATCAACCCGGTACCCGAGGCGACCTTATAAGGCGTTCGCGCCGTGCACTAGCCCCTTTTTCAGGGATGAATAAAATTTGAATTTGATTTTATGTCTCGTTTTTAGTCATTATTTTTGAGCGTGAGTGTTTGGCCTCAATCCGGGAAGAACATCCGAGTATGGTCTACGCTCGGTTTTCCTCCCGAGAAGGAGTGTCGAGCCCAAATGTTTGACCTCCATCCGGGAAGAACATCCGGGTATGGTCTGCGCTCGGTTTTCCTCCCGAGGAGGAGCGCCGAGCGCGAATGTTTGACCTTCATCCGGGAAGAACATCCGGGTATGGCCTGCACTCGGCCTTCCTTCCGAGAAGGAGCACCGAGCGCGAGTGTTTGACCTCCATCCGGGAAGAACATCCGGGTATGGCCTGCGCTCGGCTTCCCTCCCCGAGGAGGAGCGCCGAGCGCGAGTGTTTGACCTTCATCCGGGAAGAACATCCGGGTATGGCCTGCACTCGGCTTCCCTCCCAGGGAGGAGCGTCGAGCGCGAATGCTTGACCTTCATCCGGGAAGAACATCCGCGTATGGTCTGCGCTTGACTTCCCTCCCCAAGGAGGAGCGCCGAGCGCGAGTGTTTAACTTCCATCCGGGAAGAACATCCGGGTATGGCCTGCGCTCGGCTTCCCTCCCCGAGGAGGAGCGCCGAGCGCGAGTGTTTGACCTTCATCTGGGAAGAACATCCGGGTATGGCCTGCACTCGGCTTCCCTCCTATGGAGGAGCGTCGAGCGCGAATGTTTGAACTTCATCCGAGAAGAACATCAGGGTATGGCCTGCGCTTGACTTCCCTCCCCAAGGAGGAGCCCCGAGCGCGAGTGTTTGACCTCCATCCGGGAAGAACATCCGGGTATGGCCTTCGCTCAGCTCCCCTCCAGAGGAGGAGCACCGAGCGCGAGTGTTTGACCTCCATCCGGGTATGGTCTGCGCTCAGTTTCCCTCCTCGAGGAGGAGCGCCGAGCGCGAGTGTTTGACCTCCATCCGGGAAGAACATCCAGGTATGGTCTGCGCTCGGCCTTCCTTCCTATGAGGAGTGCCGAGCGCGAGTGTTCGACCTCCATCCGGGAAGAACATCCAGGTATGGTCTACGCTCGGCCTTCCTTCCGAGGAGGAGCACCGTCCTTCAAGAAGGCGACTATGTCGTCCATCCAATCTCTTGGTCGAGCACAGATCATTGCCACAGGGGAAGCATGGATGCTCGGCTCGGACAGCTCTTCCACGTTCGCCATTCTCCTGATGTGCTCAGGCGTGTCCGAGCTCAGCTTCGACAAGATATCCGCCTCGGCATTCTCCGCCCGAGGGATCTGCTCCACACTATACGCGGTGAAACTCTTAAGTAACTCTAGAGCGGTATCTTTGTACTTCTTCATTCTTTCGTCATTCGCCTAGAACTCTCTCGAGGCATGGCCAACCACCAGCTTTGAATCACACTTTACCCTTAGCTTTGTTGTGTTCATCCCGGCTGCTAGGCGTAGCCCGCACAAGAGCGCTTCATATTCCGCTTCATTGTTTGATGCCTTGAAACCGAATCGAATTGAGTAGTATGCTCTGAAGCCTTCGGGAGCGATGACTACCACTCCACCCCCGAGTTTTCGGCGGCGGTGGATACTATGAGAAACTATCCACCAGTCATCGGCTTCCGGCTCTTCCGGGCTCGGCTCCTCCCAAGCGGTGCACTCTACCACGAAGTCAGCTAGCGCTTGGCCCTTGATCGCTGCCCTTGGCCTGAATTCGATCTGGAAAGCTCCAAGGAACACCGCCCACTTGGACATGCACGAGGGCGCGTTCGGGCTCCTGAGCAGCGCACCAATGAGTTGTTGGGAGAGCACTTGAACCGGGTGAGCTTGGAAGTAGGGTGTTAGCCGCTACACGGTTGAAACCACGGCCAGGACCGTCTTTTCGGCTACTGAGTACCTGAGCTCGGCACCCCTCAGCGTCTTCGCCGTATAATACATCGGGTGCTGAGCTCCACCTTCGTCTCGGACTAGGACCGAGCTCAAATCTTTGGGTGAAACTCCCAAGTATAAGTACAACGTCTCCTCCGCTTCGGGCTTCGCGAGAACTGGAGGAGAGAGGAGGTAGGACTTGAGGGATTCAAAGGATTGTTCGCATTCTTCTGTCCACACGAACCCTCGGGACTTCTTCACAACTTGGAAGAACGGAGCGGCTCGGTCCGCTACCTTGGAAAGGAAGCGGCTAAGCGCAGCCAACTTACCGGTCAAGCGCTGCACCTCCTTGACATTTCGTGGAGCTTCCATGTCAAGGATGGCGCACACCTTCTCAGGGTTGGGCTCAATACCACGCCTGCTCACCATATGTCCCAAGAATTTGCCTCCTTGAACTCCGAACGTGCACTTCTTCGGATTCAACCGAAGGTTGTACTTCTCCATAATCTTGAAAACTCCCTCTAAGTCTTCCGCATGGGTGGTCGCCTACTTGCTCTTCATAATCATGTCGTCGACGTACGCTTCCATGCTCTTCTCGAGGACGGGCGCAAAGAGCTTGCTCACCATCCTAGTTTAGGTCGCCCCGGCGTTCTTGAGCCCGAAAGGCATCACCTTGTAACAATATACTCCGCCGGGGGTAGTGAAAGACGTCTTCTCTTCGCCCTCAGGGTGCATCCGGATTTGGTGGTACCCGCTGAAGGCGTCCATGAAACTCATTATTTCGTAGCCCGCCGTTTCGTCCACCAGCTAGTCGATGTTCGGGAGTAGGAACGGATCCATGGGGCACGCCTTGTTTAGATCGGTGTAGTCCACGCACATCCTCCAAGTGTTTCCCTTGGGTTCCAGCACCACGTTGGCCATCCACTCCGGGTACTTGACCTCTCTGATATATCCAATGCTTTGGAGGGTGGCTACTTCCTTGGAGACAAACTCCCTCCGCTCGGACGAGAGGAATCACTTCTTCTGCTTCACTGGCCTAGCCTCCGGGTTGACTGCCAAGCGGTGACATATGACCTTGGGGGCTACCCCCGGCATATCCCCGGGTCCCCATGCAAAGATCACGCGGTAGGCGGAGAGCACGTCCACCAAGCGCTTCCGCTGGCTCCCGGTCAAGCTCACCCTGACCTTCACCTTCTGCTCGGGTGCTCGAGGGTCGAGCAGCACCTCCTTGACCTCCTCAGCGGGCTCGGCCTTCGGTCGTGCTTCCAGCTTCCGCATTTCTTCTTGTGCGTGCACGACCAATTCTCATCCCTCGACAACTTCTTTGTGATTCGGACATAGCACGATCGAGCTAACTTTTGGTCTCCCCTCGTTACCCCGATTCCCGAAGGAGTGGGGAACTTCATGCACAAGTAGTATGGGGAGATCACACATTCCAAGTCCTCGAGGCCGGGTCGTCCTAGGATCATGTTGTGCGTGCAGCTGATGCTCACAACCATGAACTCCATCTTCAACTTGGCCTTGTGCGCACCATCCCCTACTATCACGGGCACAGTGATGACTCCTTCGGCCTTGATGGAGTCCCCCGTGAACCCGGAGAGAGGAGTGCGCACGGGCCTTAAGTCCTTGCGATCCAAGCCGAGGTCTTGAAAGGTCTTCTCATACATTATGTTGACCGAGCTTCCTGTGTCCACCAAGGTGCGATGCACTATGGCGTTGTTTATTTTTATCCTCACGACTAAGGCATCCCGGTGGGGGCTCGGTGTGTTCGGAAGATCCTTCTCCGTGAATTGGATTTGCTCTCGTCTTCCGAGCTTGGGCGCCGGCGCCTGTTGGACCTTGGCGACGAAGGCCATGTGCTTCCACTTCTTCCTTTGAGCGGCGGAATCCCCGCCGATATTTCCTCCATGGATGAACCCCACTAGATATCTTTGGGCTTCGTCCTCGTCTAGATCATCACACTCTCGCCCAATGTGCCTCTTCTCAGGGGTTCCTCACTTGCGTGGCCACCGCGACCAGCTCAGTTGGCTTCCTCCACGTTCTCCCTTCCGGTGGGCTCCGGGAAGGGGCTGCTCCATCGTCTCGCGGAGCCGGCCCTCGGGCGATGAGTCGCTGCATCTCCTTCTGAAGAGTGAAGCATTCCTTAGTGTTATGAGTGTTGTTGCGATGATACTCGCAATACTTGGCGCCGCTGGACACCGCATAGGTCTCTACGTGCAGGAGCGGGGAGAGGGCCAGCTCTCGACCCGTCCCTACGGACGCACCCACGGAGTACACACCCGCCGAGGGCGTCCTCAGGCCCACAGTGTAGTCTTTCTTCTTCTTCCTCTTCTTCGCTATCTCCTCTGAATCTGCGGGGGCTCGCTTGGCCGGCGCGGCCTCGGAGTCGGGGGCATCATCGAATTCCTCCGAGGCCAAGAACTTAGCGCGCGCCAAGGTTTCTTGGTACGTGGGGGGAGGATTCTTGTGGAGCTCCTTCCTCACCTCACCGCGGGGAAGGGCTGCTTGGAACGTGGCCACCAAAGATTGGTCATCCGCCCCGTGCACGTCTCTGGCTTCCTTCTCCTACCGGGTTATGAAGTCGCGGATCTTCTCTCCTTTGCGGATGCAGATGTTGAGCAGGTGGGAATAAGGTAGCCTTTGCCTTCGGTTGGCTGCGAACTGCGTCAAGAACTTCTCCGCTAGCGTATCCCAATCGTCAATGGTTCCCTTTGGGAGCCGGTTGAACCAATCGCACGCGGAGCCCTCTAGCGTCGCGAGAAGGCATCGGCACTTGACCTCGTCCGGGGCCGCCGCCGCTTCCATAGAAGCATAGAACTTAGACAAATGATTTTGGGGGTCCGTCGTTCCGTTGTAGGCCTTGATCTGCCACGGCTGGAAGCTTGCCGGCAGCAGAACCGACATTACCCTCGGAGTGAACGGGGTTACCGTCCGCAAGATGGGCTGGCTGTAGGGAGCCCTGGTCTCCACTCGGCGCTTGAGCTCGGCAATCTCACGAGCGAGCCGAGATACCCCTTGGTCAAAGACCTTTGTCTTCTCAGTTCTTGTTGAACTATGGCGACGCTGGGTGCGCCCGTCCCGCCTTTCTTCGCTCCGCTCGGGCCTCGCCGAGCGCGCATCCGACGTCGCGGACTCCTCTGCATGCCTCTGCCTGCCTTCGGTTATTTGTCGACGGAGGTCGCCCGGGTGACCTTCCGGCCCGCGATCGAGCTTGTCGAAGGCCGACACCCGGGTCTCTTCACCTCCTAAGCGCCTGAAGGCCGACACTCAGCACTCGCTGGACTCATCGTCTTCCCCTTCGGGAACGTCCTCCACTATCACCTCCTCGAACACCTGGGCTTTGCCGGGCCTCCTTCTACTCCTCCGGGTCTTCTTCCCCTTGTGTTGGGAAGTGGCAACGTGTTCGGCATGGAGACCGGGCGGAGCTTTGCCAACTCCGGCGCCGGGCACGTTCCCACCCATGGCGGAAAGTGCCGCAACGGCTGCCTGGAGCTGCTCCGCGGTCACCCCCAAGCCGAACAGCGCCTGGACCGCGTCCGGAGTCGAGCCGATGCCGCCCGTACCGTTTCCGCTGCCCGGCGCATTCTCCTCGCCAACGACGTGGCAGGTGGTGGGGACGTTGCTCCTTGTTTGCACCATTCTCGCGTTCGGGAGTTAACCTACGAGTATGTTCCTCTCCTCTCAATGAAAGCACCAATTTGATGGCTATAAACCACCGAGAGTATGAAATAATATAAGTTTTAGAGAGAGAGAGAATGCAAAGTTGGAGTATATTGATTCAAATTCGGATCCATTACAATGAGGGGTGCCACCCCTTTTATAGGGGGTACAATTCACTAAGTCAAAGCCCTCTGATCGAGGCCCGTCGTTTAGCGGACGTCACCTGTCCTTACGTCTTGTCCCTTTCATCCTATCGCTTTCATCAAGTCTTCATTGAATGTCGCTTTTCTCACGTCGTTGTCGCGGGGTTCGGGCTCAGCTTGGTTGGCCGAGCCGAGCAGGAAGGACGAGCGGAGCTCTAGGCCGGGTAGGAACGCCCAAGCCCGATACTTAGGAAATTTATGCTGATGTCAGCCCTAGGCTGGTGTGGGCTTATTCCCCATGAGATATCTAGAAGAACTCTAAGATATACCCACTTGTATATTGATGATAATTATTAGGGATATCTAGAAGAACTCTAAGATATACCTACTTGACCAATTCATATTTCGGGTTAAAACGTACGTACGGGATCCAGACCAGATATCACCCACCCGACAGATCACTGTTTGGTTGGTACGTAATCCACGTGACTCATAGGGTGGATTATCGATTCTTGTGTTCTGTATTAAACTATTTATAGCTTAAGGGCCTGGTTAGAAATGTTTCCTTAGACTAGGAATAGCTAAGAGCTGAATATAAAATAATGTGGCCTTAGATTAAAAATAATTTAAGAGCGTTATTGATATATTGAGTATCAAATGACTTGCAATAAAATATTGAGAATATTATGAATGTTTGATTCATATATTGTATGCATGATATCAAATGGTTAATTATGAATTGAGATTATATTTATGTGGATGTTCGACGTTTTAGATATGCTTACTCAGCTTCACAGCTGGGCGTGTAGTGTATTTTGTTTGCTACACGCAGGTAAACAAAATGAATGAAGAGATGATTCCTGGAGGCAGACGGGAGCGAGATGGTCGGGGTGGATATATGAAATGAATTGATGTTTTAAAAGACAAAAAAAATTATTATGTTTGTATTATGTTTTATTCAGCTTCCGCAACATTAAATTACTCCGTTACTATTTTGAATTATTTATTATGAAATAAAGTTTTAAATGTTTGAAATATTTTGAATGTCTACGAATACCAAGTTTATACTTTAGTCCGAAAGGGGCTGCAGACCTAGACGGATTAGGGTGTTACATGCAAGAACAATAGCGTTTAGAGGTAATTTACGCTGAGTAGTAATACCACACACGGTTAGATAGATTCCGGGTCAAACACAATAGCATTTAGAGGTAATTTACTCTCCATAAGGTACAACCCAAACGATTTCCCCTGAAATAAAATAAATGTTAAGACTGTTTTAATACTATGCAATTCATAGGAGTATTTTCTCATAGTAATGAACTTCATGTGTTATTTTCATCAGTTTCTATTCAACACCTCTTTTTATGTGTGTTTGTACTTTTGAACGTCAAACAATTTTTTGAATAACGTAGCAATAGAAGTGTGTTAAATCTTAGCATGTTTGCTTTTGTAATTATAACGCTATTAGGTAATACAGTTTAGGTATTAATTATACCAATTAATTGTTGAAAACTCAATCACAATTGAGACTGGATGCCTAGAAAGGATTTTAAATCGAAAATTACTTTTGGAATGTCATTTCCACTGATTTCTTTGACTTTTGTTCTGTTGTAGATAACCAACGAATAAGGATGCATTGTTGTCATGCAAGAGAGGTAATTATCATGACAAACACATTTCTAATGGCAAAAGATGCCACCTTCTTTGATTTCATTTTCAAGATTTGCTCTTCTCGTTTATTAAGATGTGCATGAATCTTTGTCTCCTATTAAAGAATAAAGAAGATTTTCAGAATATTTTCAAGGATAAATTTATAAAGTAAAGTGTATTTACATGTCAATTCTAAAGGGGTTTTAAAAACTTCTATTATCTATCATATATATAAAAGTAGAATCAAAATTGATTCCTGCCCGGCCCAAATCTAACGATGCAATTTCAATTTGAGATGCTATCGGACGGTCCAATTTCTGGAAATTTCAGATCCTAACCGTCATTTACGGTTTAACTGACTTTTCTCCATCCTCTTCTATTCTGATCACCGTCCTCCCCTTGGATCGGCTATCGTCTTTGAAACTGATTCAATCGTGGCAGATCCACGAAATCTTCAAGCACAATCGCCGAAATCTAATTTTTTCTTACCATCGCGCAGCTCCCTAGAACTAGAATGGAGATGACACAAGGGGGTAATGATGCCGACATGAATGACCGCTCCACCAGGCTAGGGTTTCGGCCCTAACATATCCTACGATTAAATTCTAACAACACGATGCACGATGGAAGGCGCACCACAGGTGCACGACTTCGGGGATCAGGGTAATCCATGTTTGTTTTTTATGATTTACTACGTACTTTTTAATTTGTATGGCAAAATGTTCCATTCTCTTCATCTTTTCATAGATGTAGGGATAATGTCTCAACTTTGGATTCTTGACATACGTTTAAAGCTTCATGCTTATTCCCATTGCCACCATTTTAAAGTTGTATTTTCCCTTCTCTTTAATTGATTTTTAAAGTCTGGACATTTATAAAAATCAATGAATTATTTCCATTGCATTAAAAGCATTGGAAATTTCGTTGATGTCTAGAAGCTTCTTCTTCTTGATGGAAACAAATTTTCGGGCACATTTCGGTAGAAATTGGAAAATTGCATCAGTTGTCTAATATGGATCTCAACCTAAACAGCCTATCTGGTACCATTGCATCAGAGATTAGCAGATGCAAGTTGATGACATTTGTTTATCTCAGCCGGAACCAGCTATATGGTGAAATCTCGATTGAGATTACAGACATGAGGAGCTATCTGGTGAAATCCTGATTGAGATTACAGGCATGAGGATATTAAACTACTTGAACCTGTCCAGAAACCACTTAATTGGGAGCATTCCATTGCTAATTACCTCTATGCGGGGTTTAACTTCAGTCGAATTTGCATACAACAATCTGTCTAGAATTTTTCCTCGAACCGTAGTTATTTCAATTACACTTCGTTCTTGGGAAACCCAGATCTATGGTTGAGCTGCTTGTCTGTTAAATCGTGTGGCAATCAATAAGGCATGTTCTTTGGAGAAGGCCATTGATTCTTGTGCATGGAAGCTTACTGCATTCCAGCGCTTAGATTTCACTTGTGATTACGTTCTAGATTACCTCAAGAAAGACAACTTTATTGGTAAAGGAGGTGCGGGTATAATCTACAACGGACTTATGCCTAACGGTGAACAAGTTGCTGTGAATAGGTTTCCAGCAATGAGCCATGGATTCACATGATCACGGGTTCAATGCAGAATTACAGACTCTTGGGAGGATCTGGCACAGACACATTGTCAAATTATTAGATTTCTGTTCAAACTATGAGACAAATCCTTTGGTTTATGAGTACATGCCAAATGGGATTTAACTGAAATGATCCATGGCAAAAAAGGTGGGCATTCACATTAGGACACAAGGTACATGATAGCTATGAAGGCTGCAAAGGGACCGAGTGAAATCAAACAACAATTTTCTCGACTCAAACTATAAAGCTCATGTTGCTGATTTCGGACTTGCCAAGTTCATGCAAGATTCTGGAACATCTGAGTGCATGTCTGCCATTGATGGTTCCTATGGATACATACTGGAACATCCGAGTGCATGTCTGCCATTAAGTGTTTTGTGTTAGAGATGGTCTTAGGCATCTTATATTGCCTCTTTGGGTTTCGCCTGTGCACAATCCAATGCTTATTTGGGTATCATGTGATTTCCAAATCCTTAATTTTGGAGTTAGTTTAATTGGAATTTTGGGTTTGGTTTCTTTTGCATCTATTGCAAAAAAAAGAATATTTGATATTTAGTTTCATGATTTGGTGTTGGAGTACCTTGCTCACATATTGCTACAACTTTATTTTAAATTCTTTCTACAGATGATCTTTCTTGGTAAGCGGTCTTTTAAGTTATGGATTCACATGAGTTTTGATGACACTGGCTTTTGTAGAAGTTTACAGGTGACAAGTACTTGCCACAAAACCTCTTTAATGATTTACTTAATTTTTCTCAGTTTGACCCCCTTTAAATTTACATGCTCTTTCATATAATTTGGTGACAACCTTATGAGTTTTTTTTAAAAAATTATCTTTTTCCCATGATGTTTAAATATATATTAGACATTGGGAAATGTATAATGTTTTAGTCCTATTCAGTGGAAATTGCACTATATTATTAACCTTTTACCATGTAGATGAAATATTTGGAGCTATTTCAATGTCCGTTCAAGCCAACAAAAGAAAGCGTTATGAACAAAGAGTGTTGCTAATGAGACGGCTCAAATTAGCATTAGGAAGCAATGTACGGAACTTTTAAACTACAAAGACACAAATATCTTCATATTTAATGATGATGCCAAGTAACTTTATATGGGTGCCAAAAATCGTTATACATTTTAAGTCTGGCTTTTTAAATCAAGTGAATGTTGGCCAAGTATCTATACTATATACAAAAGTAAAAGAATTCAAGAAAGATAAAAAAGAAAAAAAAAGTGTTTTCCCGTCCAGTTATCCACTGTTGATAAACTTTGGAATATTTCATCAACGCCCTTCATCAAGCCTTGGAAATTGGAATCCACTGCATTAATTTTGTCAGCCGCCCACTTTGGTAACAAAAGTAAAGGTACTTTGGTAAATGTACTCCGTATTTAATATGGATTACTCAAAATTTATTTGTACGAAGCCCTTTCGTTTCTTAAATTGTTTTTTCTTTATTATTTTTGTTTTCTTGAAAATACAAACATTTTCTATTAAAAAACCATTTTTTATATATCATATCAAGAACAAAATTGGAGAGTCAACTACAAATATACACTCTTTATTTTTCCTAAAAGCCAAAATAAGAATCTTATTTTTGAACGGAGGGCGTACTATATAGAGCATGTTTTATAAATCTGAAACTAAGAAAATAAAAAAGAAATATTTGCACTAAATAACACTAAAACTTAAGTCATTTCTCTAAATAGTAGTTAAATTTTTTTATACCCTAAATAACACTTAATAATGTCTAGAAAGAGGAATAATGTCCAGTGATGGTTACTTGAATAATGACTAATCGATACTGACTAAAAGTGCTACATTAAAAAACATTATGTTTTAGTGCTATTTAAGTAAATTCACCAATAAAAATGGAACAATATTTAAAAATTTTGTAATTAATAAGAATTTGGTGTTAAAATAAATCTCAATATTGGAGTTAAAAATAGAGGACTCAAAATCATTTGTGATCCATAATCTCATTAAAGTTAGTTTAGTTGTAAATTATTAATGGAATTAACTTTAATTTAACTATAGTTTCATTGCACTAAGATGAAATTGGAATTTAAATACTTTTACTTTTAATTTAAGTCTCCTTTATACACCTAATGATTATAAATGTGTCTCTTTCATCTTATCTATTTAATACCCGTAGTAATTTACTAATTGCATTGTCATACCCTACATTAAAGTAAAGGAGAAAAACCAAAGTAAGACTAAAATATTTAAAATATACAAAAATAGGACTTACATTACTAAACATTACTACAGCGCAAAGTACTATTTTGAGAAAAAAACATGAAAGTCCAGTTTTGATACTTTTGTCTATATTTTAGTCCTATTTAGGATGATTTCTATTAAAGTAACACAAAATTGAAAAGTGACTCTAAATTATACATTCCTTAAATCATATCTTTTTGAGTTTTTCTATGGTGCACCTTAGGTGCATACCATTTTTTTGGACCTTTTCATATAAAAAATCCTTTTTTATTGTTTTATTTTTAAAAAAATAGATGCTAATTTAAGTATGTAGTATGAAAATGTTTATTTTAGTCATATGTAGATCCATGGTGGGCTTTAGATCTACCATAAAATCTGCCTATCTTTTTCCATAATGGAAATTTTTTTATAAGATAGAACTAATTAAGTTTTTTCAGGAAGTGATAATCTTTGAAACTATCTGCATGCCAATATATGTTATTTTTAGCTGAATGTGGAGTAGTGTTGTTTCATTCATAAATGAATTTTTAAATGTCCCTTGGACATCCTGAAATCATATACTTCGATTAAGTATTTAAAATCTAAATTCGTTGGTGTAAGTTCGTGGGGTCGCAGCGGAAATCACCAATTAAGAGCTATTGAAACAAATCAATCCACTATGCTGCAGAGAAGACGCTGCAGCACTGTCACAGTAACAGATGACGAACAGTGTGCTATTACACTTCTCTGTCACAAGCACACACAGAAACAGATGATGCAGAGGGTGTTACAGCGTCTACTGGACAGAATGTTGTAACTATAAAATGCGTAAAAAAAATAACACTAGATCTGTTTACGCAGGTCGGAGAAACTCTCCTAATCTGCGGGGCCCACGTCCGTGTAATAGCCCTCTACTAAGTCACTAGATGCAAGTTACACCGGTATATAACAACATGATGAGACACCCTTCTCCGATTTGCTATGACAAAACTTCTAATCTAGGATTTCTAACCCGAACTCTGTTCAGATCCGCTTTGGCTATCACATCTCCACCGAGATCACGAGGACAAACGTGTTGGAATCCCTCTCCTTAAGCTCTGGTTCATCTCCTGGTTGTCACGATCTGTTTGGCGTTGAAGATCTCCTCCTTCATGTAGATCGTGACCTTCTTCACGCATGGGAAGCTCCGGGACGCGACAGGAACGCTCTACATCAGCATATATTCTGTATTTTCCCTCTCAATCGCTCCAAGTAATTCCCAGGGACCTGCTGCATATTTATAGGCTTCTCTCAACACAATCCTAGTAGGAATAGGATAGTAGAAGTTGGCTTGAACTCTACTTCCTTATTCTTGATCCACAAGTAGCCTAAACAGTTAAGATTCCTTAACATGTACAGCTGGAGTTATTATCATGTAATCACAATCCCAATAGGTCTCTAATTCAGATTGCAGCTTAAAATCTCGTGCTCAGACCTCTGATCCCGCACACTGTGTTGCAGCATCGTGCTGTAGCATCTTCTTCGTCAACCTCGAAAACTGCAGCAGCTCTAGAAGTCTAAATAAAATAAACCTCTCCTAACAAATAGAGGTTTCTACCTAGTAAAACATCTAACAAATATGGGATTTTATTTTGCCAAAAGATTAGCCAACACCATGGAACTAACAGTTGGGTTCTTGGGAATTGATAAGTCACATTGATTTGTTTGAACCTGATTTTTTTAATCCCAAGTTGTTGGGAATTTAGTAAAGACACAATGAAATGATTTACTCCACATCTAAAATATGTATTTATTTTGTTGTGCTCCAGATTATTCTATTCCATTGAATTTATTTTATATAAACCACCCTCATTTGTAACATAATATAGCATCATAATATAACATAATATAGCACATAATATAACATAATATAGCACCATAGAAATGAAGTTGAAGCAGATCAATGTAAAGGCACCTTTATTTTTATGACTTACAATTTGTTTGAAAATTGGCACTTATCTCTTTACTTATGAATCAGTACGACAAAAAAAGTTTAGAATTGAAAATAACACATGCATAATAATATTTTATTTTATCAAATATATAATGGAAAATATAAATAAAAAATGTTGTCATGGTTTTGAATAGTGTAGAGTGTCATTCGTTGTAGAACGTAAGAAGTATACTTTTGTTGGTACAAATTGGTAACCCATGCAGTTGCTCTTCATTAAATATAACTTTTCAATGTTAATACGCTTTGCACAATGACTTAAATTAAACAATGTGTACATTGACTCCACAGTTACAATACAATTGGATTTATTGAAATTGAATCCAAATTATGACTCTAGGACATATTTGGGTTCTCATAAGGTTTGCAAGTCAGATTGCAATTTGGATTTTGACAATGTTCCCTACATTTGTCAGAATTCTTGAATAATGTACATACCTTGGGTGTTCCAAATCATAAATTAAACTTGAAACACTACAAAAAAGAGGCTTTTTGGCGCACTTAAAATGGTTTTTGGCCACACTTATAAATGTGGAAAAAACTATTTGCCACACATGACCTAAGTGCGGCTACCTAAATGTGGGGAATTTTTTGCCGCACTTTAAATTAAGTGTGGCTAATGAATATTTGTGCAACACTTGACATGTGCGGGTAATATTTTATTTTGCAACACTTATATGTGTTGGGAAGCCGCCACACATATAAGTGTCGCAGATATCATTTTTTAAAAAATAATGAAAAAACTATACACACACTTATAAGTGTGGCAAATACCATATATATAGACACACACACACACACACACACACACCATTATTTTAATGATATATACACAATTTTATTTTGATTTATATCCAAAAACAAAAAGTATATTAGAATTCAAATACTACGATCTAACAATAAGTCGATCATCCAACATTTTGTGTCTAAAAACATGAGTTATAAATATATCCAAATGTATCGAAATTGAAGAGAAGAAACAAATTAATGTGTGCAAAAAGATTTGTAGAGCTAGGTTGACACCATCTCTTCAAGCTTGAACCACCACTTATTGCCCTTTTTTTGTGCTATTATCCTTCTTTGATTGACATTGCACCTACACGTTTCAAACCAATTGTGGTATTAATTTTTCATCATAATGTAAAAATTAATGTAAAAGTGATGCTTAAAGTCATATCGTGAAAAGTAAAGTATAAAACCATATTCACATATCTTCATTTTACCATTAGTTATCAAAGAAACAAAAAACAAAGTAAGTTCATCATCTATATATAATTGACTTACATGTGTTGTTTCCTCCAACTTGTCACAAAGGACAATATTTAACAATTTCTGATCTGCCTTATTCTTACATAAACTAGCAGCCTGCAAGTATAGACATCATTTATATCTAAAATATAAAGAATTTAAGAAACTTAACGATACTAATTTAACTTTAATTCATACCATTCCCTCTAAGTAAGCAATG